AGAGTCTCCCTTTTGTTCTCAGAAATGTGTCATCTTAAATTTTACTCTCCCTTTTTATCCCCCCAAAGATGCAAATGTTTCTATGCTCCGTGTATCATCTCCGTCCCTGAGGTTACCACAGATTAGAAGGTGAAAAAAAACACACTGGCAGTGACACACTTTCCAAACTCATGCAGTCCTCTCACACTGATAGGGCCCAGCTGAATGCATTCCGGCATTCAGTGGCAGAGGTCAGGAAAGCATTAAGTGAGTGCGAAGAGCGGAGGCAGGAGGCGATGGTTGCTCCCGTAGAGATAATCCAGAGCCGTTTGTGTCTGTGCATTTATCAGCCAATTCCCCTGAGAACTTTCCCCTCCAACACCAGGGAAAATGGGCCTTTGGATCCGTTTGTTTTTCATTGTAGCCGCTTCAGAAGGTATTTTAGCCCCGTAACGGTGCTGGAGGAACAGGGGAACATTACACTGTTGCCACTGAAATTGGAGTAATTTGTAACCTGTCTTTATTTCCAGGGGCCCGGTCCCAGGTGCAGCTGGTGGAGTCCGGAGGGGATGTGAAAAAGCCTGGAGACTCTCTCCGCCTCTCCTGCAAGGGTTCTGGATACACCTTCAGCAGCCACCGGATGAGCTGGGTCCGCCAGGCTCCCGGGAAGGGACTGGAGTGGGTCGCCTACATTTACAGCACCAGCATATACTACAGTGACTCGGTAAAAGGGAGATTCACGTCTCCCTTCCTCCCTGGGACTGGGGGAGTTTCCTGTTTAAATCTGCCCCTCTCTGCCCAGGCTGCACCCGGAGACACAACCTGCACAGGACAGCGTCTGTCAGTGGCGGAGCCCACCGCAGGTTGTTAGTTGCAGAAACACAGAGCGAGTCTGACTCATCTCGGAGCCCTAGGGAGGGTAATTAACATGGTTGATGGAAGGAGTCTGTCTCCTATAAGGAAGGGGATAAGCAAATGAGGGTGACAGTCTCCTGTTTAAATCTGTCCCTCTCTCTGCCCAGGCTGCAACCAGAGCGACAATCCACAGCCCCTTGTCGCTGTGCAGTTGCCAGAATGTTCCCTCCAAAACCAGGGAAAAGAGACTTTGGCTCCATAGAGTTTTCATTTTTACAGTTTTGGGAGGTACTTTTGTCACCTGAGTAATTTGCACAGGCAGAAGAATGTGATACTATTGCCCTTTCTATGTTATTATTATTGTGTCTTTCTTCCCAAGTGCCCGGTCCCAGGTGCAGCTGGTGGAGTCTGGAGGGGATGTGAAAAGCCCGGAGACTCTCTCCGCCTCTCCTGCAAAGCCTCCAGGTTCACCTGCAGCAGATACGCCATGCATTGGGTCCGTCAGGCTCCAGGGAAGGGGCTGCAGGGGGTGGCTGGAATTAGCTCCGGAAGCGGATCGAACCAGTGATATGCTAAGGCTGTCGAAGGGCGATTCACCAGCTCCAGACACAATTCCGTCACCACGGCATAATTACAAATGACTGGCCTGAAACCCGAGGACATCGCCCGCTGTTACTGGGCGAGACAAGACACACAGGAGAGGAAACCGGACTGAGCTCAGACAAAAGGGGAAGGGATTTCCTAGGGGTGGCGCTCTGGTTCCACAGCAATGCGAACGGACACAAAGTATCTCCTCTTTTCGACACCGCACACAGCTGCAATAGGAGAGAGGCTGACTCCATCTCCCCTGGGGAGCGCAGGGAGCAGATGCCCAGGGTGGATTTCAGAGGGGCAGCATAAAAGAACAGGTGGCTCCGCCCTCGCTCTGTGGATGCCCCCAGTGACTCTCTGATCAGACAGTCTCCAGGTTAAGGCTTCCCCCTTCTCCCAGTGAGGTCTGTGGAGAAGCTGAGCCCTTAGTGCAGGGCAGGGGGCGTGTGGAGCCCGGAGTGAGGGTTGTTTGACAGGCGGCGGGGTCGGTAATCTCTGAGTGATCTCCCCCCTCAGCCCATTGATCATTCTCTGGATAAAAACCCACCCTTTTGTAGAGGGGGCAGCACAAGCATCTATGCACCTTCTGAGTGGCACCGAAGCATTTTAGTGTTTAACATTATTTGAGGGTCTGATGCCCAGATCCATATTCCCACAACAATCCAAAGGAAACATGTCTGTGAGTTTCATGCTCCGTGGTGGGAAGAGGAAGGCCAAAGTGGGTATGAATCCAAACAGAAATGTGAATGGGAAGGGGAATTGAAATGGAAGTATCCAGGGAGTATTAATTTGAATATGAATGTGAATGGGGATATGAAGTGGAGTAGAAATGGGTACAAAGGTAAAAAGGAACA